TAAGGGGAAGCTAATGAGATAACAAGAACCTGGTGTGAAACAAGATAAGCTAGCGAGCAGAGAAACAAGGAGGGCGGGGATCACGCTTACAATGCGCATGTGGCGAGCTGTCAAAACAAGCCACGCACACAACAACAACAACACAACACCCGAACACAGAGACAGCAAAGAACAGGTGATCAGATCCGAGACCCGACAGTACCCCCCCTCCCAGGAGCGCCACCAGGCGCCCCAGGAGGAGGCCCACCTTGTCGCCGACGGAAGTCCTCGATCAACGAACGGTCCAAAATGTCCCGGGACGGCACCCAGCATCTCTCCTCTGGACCATAACCCTCCCAGTCCACGAGATACTGAAACCCTCTGCCACGGCGCCGCTCGTCGAGTAATCTCCTAACCGTATAGGTAGGGGAGCCATCCACAAGACGAGGAGGTGGGGGGGCGGGAAGATCGCCGGCAGGATTAAGGGGAGAGGAAAACACAGGTTTAACCCTAGAGACATGAAACACAGGGTGAACCCGACCAAGAGCAGGAGGGAGCTTGAGCCTGAGGCGGTCTCCCGGGCAGAAAAGCGATCCACCACAGTAAGAACCACAGTGTTACCCTTCGATGGGGGAAGCCCAGAGACAAAATCAAGGGCGATGTGTGACCATGGACGGGAAGGGACAGGAAGAGGATGAAGCAGACCATCGGGAGGACGATTCACTGGCTTACATTGGGCGCATGTGGGGAAGGCCAACACAAACTGTCTGACATCTGCGGCCAGTGTGGGCCACCAGAAGCGTTGACGGATGGCAAACAACGTTCTCCCAATCCCTGGATGGCAGACCAGTCTGGACGCGTGACCCCACTGAAGGACCTCGGGGCGCAGCGCAGCCGGCACCGGCAACCTGCCCGCCGGGCACCTCCCTGGCACTTGCACCCCTCGACCGGCCTCGTTGACGGATGGCAAACAATGTTCTCAGAATCCCTGGATGGCAGACCAGCCTGGACGCATGACCCCACTGAAGGACTTCGGGGCGCAGCACAGCCGGTACTGGCAACCTGCCCGCTGGACACCTCCCTGGCACTTCCACCCCTCAACCGGCCTCCTCTACTCGCCGCTCGATACCCCAAGAAAGAGCCCCGACCACCACCCCTTCAGGAAGGATGGCTTCGGCCGTAAGCTCCCCCTCCGGAGCCCCGAACAGGCGCGAGAGAGCGTCGGGCTTGATGTTTTTGGACCCTGGCCGGTACGAGAGGGTGAAGTTGAACCGGCCAAAGAAAAGTGCCCAGCGGGCCTGACGCGAGCTCAGCCTCTTGGCCGAACGGATATATTCCAGATTCTTGTGATCCGTCCAGACCAAGAAGGGCTGCGCCGACCCCTCCAACCAGTGGCGCCACTCCCCCAAGGCCAATCTCACCGCCAACAGTTCTCTATTGCCAATGTCGTAGTTACGTTCTGCAGGGCTGAGACGACGAGAGAAGAACGCACACGGGTGAACCTTCCCGTTGCGGAGGGATCGCTGAGATAGAACTGCGCCAACCCCGACGTCCGATGCGTCAACCTCGACAATGAACTGGGACTCGGGATCTGGAACCAACAGAACAGGTGCAGAGACAAAACGGGACTTTAATGTGTCAAAGGCTACCTGAGCATCCTGGTTCCACCTGAAGGACACCTTGGTGGAGGTTAATGCCGTGAGCGGAGCAGCGATCTGACCAAAATTCCTGATGTATCGCCGATAGAAGTTGGCAAAACCCAGGAAACGCTGCAGGGCCTTACGGGAGTCGGGGACTGGCCACTTGGCGACAGCTTCTATCTTAGCAGGGTCTGGTTTAATCCCCCTGGTAGAGATGATATGGCGGCAAAACCCAGGAAACACTGCAGGGCCTTACGGGAGTCTGGGACTGGCCACTTGGCGACAGCCTCTATCTTAGCAGGGTCTGGATTAATCCCCCTGGTAGAGATGATATGGCCAAGGAACGTAACAGACTCGGCGTGGAATTCGCACTTCTCCACCTTGACGAACAACTGGTTCTCTAACAGGCGCTGGAGGACTCGTCTAATGTGCTGGGTGTATAAGTGGAGAGAAGGGGAGAAAATCAGAATATCATCCAAATACACAAAGACGAACTGAGTACTCAAGTCACCCAGAACGCTATTGATATGAATCACAGTTCACCACTTCCAACTACAGAGACATGTGGCAAGGACTCCACAACATCACGGAATACAAGGATCGCAAACACCCTGCTACAAACACCGCTTCCTCACTGCCTGACGAGCTTAACGCCTTCTACGCTCGCTTCGAAGTCAGCGGCTCCTCCCCCACACAGGGCGCTCCCGCGGCCGAGACTGCTGAGGCTCATCCACTCTCCGTGTTTGTAGCAGATGTTACCCAATCGTTTCGGCGCGTGAATGTCCGCAAAGCCGCAGGTCCAGACGGCATTCCTGGTCGAGTCCTTAAAACATGCGCTCACCAACTAGCTGGAGTCTTCACGGACATTTTTAACCTCTCCCTTTCCCTATCTGTTGTCCCCCAATGTTTCAAAACATCCACCATTGTGCCAATACAAAAGACACCCAAAGCTTCTTACTTGAATGACAGGTGCCCTGTTGCTCTGACTCCCATCATCAGTAAGTGCTTTGAGAAGCTTATCAGAGATCACATCTGCTCTGTATTACCAGCATCACTCGACCCACTGCAGTTTGCCTACCGAAATAACCGCTCCACAGATGACGCAATTGCCTTCACCCTGCACACTGCCCTTTCCCATCTTGACAAGAGGAACACATATGTGAGAATGTTGTTTGTTGACTACTGCTCAGCGTTTAATACCATAGTGCCCTCTAAGCTTGTGGTGAAACTCTGGTCTCTGGGTCTGAACAGTTCTCTGTGCAGCTGGATCCTGGACTTCTTGACAGGCAGACGGCAGGTGGTCAGAGTTGGCAGCATCTCCTCCCCGCTGACCCTCAACACTGGAGCCCCACAGGGCTGCGTTCTCAGTCCCCTCCTGTACTCCCTGTACACTCATGACTGTGTAGCCACGCATAGCTCCAACGTCATCATTAAATTCGCGGATGACACAACGGTGGTAGACCTGATCACCGACGATGATGAATCAGCCTACAGAGAAGAGGTGCGCACCCTGACTAACTGGTGCCACAACAACAACCTCTCTCTGAACATCAAAAAGACCAAGGAGCTGGTGGTGGATTTCAGGAGACGGACCAGTGAGCACTCCCCCATCACCATTGACGGGACTCCAGTGGAGCAGGTCAGCAGCTTCAAGTTCCTCGGCGTTCACTTCACCGAGGACCTCACCTGGACTACTCACACACAGTCAGTAGTGAGGAAGGCCCACCAGCGTCTCTTCTTCCTCAGGCGACTGAAGAAATTTGGTCTGAGCTCAAAAATCCGCAGACAGTTCTACAGTTGCATTGTGGAGAGCATCCTAACTGGCTGCATCACCGCCACCCCTACCCCTCACACTGGATTCCATCTACACACCAGCCACACTGACTCTGACAGCACTGTAGCATGTCCTGCACTGCATAGCAAGAACACATGTAGCTCCATCTTCTCTTCTGCACTAACAAACTACTGCACTGAACTTCAGTAAAACACTACATTATACATCACTGTAAGTCATATATAAAATCTATACATTTATAAGTCTCGAGTATACTGTGTACTATGTGTATATTATGGAAATGTGAGGCCCACCAGCGTCTCTTCTTCCTCAGGCGACTGAAGAAATTTGGTCTGAGCTCAAAAATCCGCAGACAGTTCTACAGTTGCATTGTGGAGAGCATCCTAACTGGCTGCATCACCGCCTGGTACGGGAACTGCACTGCTCTCAACCGGAAAGCCCTGCAGAGAATAGTTCAGACGGCCCAGCACATAGTCGGAGGTGAGCTTCCCTCCCTCCAGGACATCTTGTATATTGTGTAAAATGTGTATATTGTTATTTATGTATACTGTTAATTTTTCATATCTTGTTGCTTGTACTGCCATGGCACAGAGTCTTGTACCCAAGAATTTCACCATTGTTACACTTGTGTACACGATGTGGGACAATAAAGAGATTTGATTGATTTGATTTGACGAGACCCTGGAAAACGGCCAGAGCATTGGTCAGACCAAACGGAAGAACCAGATACTCGTAGTGTCCCGAGGGGGTGTTGAATGCCGTCTTCCACTCATCCCCCTCCCGAATGCGCACCAGATGGTAGGCGTTGCGGAGGTCTAATTTGGTGAAGACCCGAGCTCCCTGCAACAATTCAAAAGCAGAAGAAATTAGAGGTAGGGGGTACCTGGTCTTTACTGTAATGTCATTCAAACTTCTGTAATCAATACAAGGGCGTAGGGAGCCGTCTTTCTTCTGAACGAAGAAAAACCCCGCCCCAGCGGGAGAGGAGGAATGACGAATGAGCCCAGCCTGTAGTGACTCACGTATATACCTGTCCATGGCCTCTCTTTCAGGACCGGAAAGGGAATATAAACGACCCTTAGGCGGAGAAGTGCCCGGGAGAAGGTCTATGGCACAGTCGTAGGGACGATGCGGAGGTAGTGAGGTGACCCGGGACTTACTGAAAACCGCACGAAGATCGCAGTACTCCGCCGGGACGCTGGTCAAGTCAGCGGGATCCACCTGCGAAACACAAGACACAGAGACAGCAGGAAAAGCAGCACCTAAACATGACACATGACAAGACTGACTCTAGGCTCAAATAGAATTATTGACCCAATCAATATGTGGGTTGCGTTTCAGCAACCAAGGATGTCCTAAAATTAATGGGGCCTTAGGGGAGTCAATAATTAACAGTTCGATCTGCTCACAGTGGTTACCAGAGAGGGAAAGGCTTACACAAGCTGTGACGTGAGTGATGGTGGTGAGGGGATTGCCTGCTAAGGACCACGCCGTAATGGGCTTAGCCAGGGGAATGGTCGGGATGTTCCACTTGTGAGCCGAGGCAGAATCCAGGAAATTCCCCTCAGGCCCCGAATCCAGAAGGGCGTGGCCAGTGTGTGAACCTCCCTGGAAGGAGAGTCGAAAGGGCAGCTGAGTGCGCGTTGCTGGAGAGTTTGAACAGGGAAAGGCGCCCACCAGGACTCTCCGCTTCACTGGTGGGCCTTGACTTTTAACGGGCACTGAAGGACAAAGTGGCCAGCCTTGCCGCAGTACAGGCACAATCCCTGAGCTAAACGCTCCTGTTTCTGCTGCGGCGTAAGCCGGAGACGACCCAGTTGCATGGGCTCAACATCAGCTGACTGTGGACTCGCCGCATTGGATGAAGCGGACTCCAGGTGGCGCCACGGAGTAGTGGATTGACGGCGTTGCCGGCGGCGTTTGAGACGGCCCTCCACACGGAGCGTGAGATTAATCAAATTATCCAGCTGTCACCACCGTCGAGCTAGGTGGCCGTGGTTTCAGCAACCAGCTCCCGCCTCTTTGCCCCTTTTCGATTAACCGGGAGTGACGCACGGTGACGCGCTGCCAAGATGGCGACGGCCGGCTCCGCCCACTTTGAGCTTCAAAAACGCAGGGCGCTGCTTTACCCTTCTAAACAACATTTCTGTTTGCTCCTTAGAGTTGCTTCCACACCTCAGCCGATCTCAACAACTACAACTCCCACTACAGCTGCAGCAGAGCCCACTGAGGGGTAAGACTACAACACCAGTTTAATCACAGTCATTGAGCGGCATCCCAAACATCAAAGAGCATTGCTACACGAGAACGAGAACAGCTATCAGCTATGGCAGTCATGTAATCAACAGGAGTTTCATAACCGTAAATATTGCTGGGTATTCATGCACATCTCCCAATTCAATTCGATTCTGGCTCATAAGCTTTGAGCAACTTTGATCTGATCATGATTATGAGTTTAGCTCTAACTTGCCCCAAAACTTCCTGTCTGGAAGTTTCTAGTACGCACCAACCAATGAGAGTGATTTTGAACCAAAGAAGGCTGATTGGTCAAAAATATATAAGTTATTTACAAATATATAAACCTGCGCTGGCTCTGTCTTTCTCACACTCACGCACGCGCTGTCACCATATAATAACGCCAGATCGTTTCAAAACAAATGCTGAAGCGCAAAAATCCCAAACCTGACATTCTGTGGATGAGGAGCGGACTCAAATGAAGCAGAGCTCACGAGTCTTTCACAGAACTGCTGAAATGATTCACTGCATGCACCTTACGTTATTAAAGGGGTCATATGATGCTTTTTTAAAGATCATTATTTTGTGTATTTGGCGTAACAGAATATGTTGACATGCTTTAATGTTCAAAAAACACATTATTTTTCAAATACTGTACATTATTGTAGGTCCTCTATGCCCCGCCTCTCTCAAAAGCCATGTGATAGTTAAGGGTGTATTGTTAATTAACTGAGATTCTTACATGGATGATGGGCCTATCTGTATTCATTTATGTATAATCAGTGCTAATCTTAGCTTTAAACATAATAGTTATCAATATATTATAATGTTAAGCTCTTACTGTAATCATAATAAATGATTCACACATTCTCTGTAGAGGTTTGGGTAAATATTTACAATGTTTGTGTATTTTCAATGTGATAAATCACTGCCTGAACACTATTGGTAGAGTAAATCCCAAAAGTAATCAGTTTTATGAATATAACTAAAATGTTCAAGTGTGTGAAACGTGTTGAACTGCACTGATTAAATAAAATGGATTGCATTAACACTGCTGGCATTTTAATGCATTGTTTTTTCAGGCCTTGCATTTTTGGGGCTGAAGTTCAACACAGTTGTATATATATTTAAGCTGTGACTATTTCAAATGAAAACATTTCATACACAGTTTCTTTTTTTTTTTTCAATATTCCACGGAGTTCATTTTAAAAAAATACCACCTATAATATTCAACAAGCAATGTATTTCACTTTACAAATTCAGTTCAGGTGCTAGCAGGTGATGAGAAAAAACCCAAAGCAACAGGTAGAGTCATTCATGCATTCATTCAATCCTTCACAAAAACTGATTTACAGAAATGGGACAAGCGGTAAGTAGAAACCGAAATCAGAAAAGTTTGTGACTGCATGTGGACAACAGCCAGATGTTGAAACGCATCACATCGCATTAGGACACTGAGTAAGTGTCTAACTCTCCACTTTATAAATTCATAATTCTGTGTAATTGTCTAATCTAATCTGTCTCCCTCAGTTCTCTGAAGAGGCAGCGCGCTGTCAAAGCTTTCTGTGGTGACTCTTCATTCTCAAGTTTCTGACATTTCTGACCTTTTTGCAAACCCGTTTGATCAGTTAGTTCAAAAGAGTGATTCATTTGCATATCCGGCAGCACTAGTTCTGATTCTAAACAGAGGATAGAAAACACATACGACTTGATTGCTGTAATTATCAGAGAAAACCATATACATCAATCCTATCAACACAAGCATTCATCAGGGGCTCATATGCTCCTGTAAGTAGGGTCTAGCGATGCCTGTGTGTCACTAATTTGAATTTATTTGAACTTATTTCTAAATAAAAGTGTATACTTGACACTCCTGTCTTGTGTGATTCTTGACATACATAACTTATCTTTGACAACACAGGCATTACAGACAGCTTTAATCACAAACACATGCATATAATCAAAAATGGAAAGTGGTTGTTAATTACATAAACCTCATATGAAACTAAAACACAGAATACAGGCAATTCTATTTAATGATTTATCATTTATTTTTAAAAGCATTACACTTTTAAGAAAACATTTGAAATGTGTCATCATACTACTACTACTACTACTGAGTTTTGCCTTGTTAGACAGAATGGCACTCACCGAAATCGCACCTCTGGCGTTTACTGTATTATTTCTATTATTTCTATGCAGTCTTGAGATCGTAGACTCGAGCGCGATGACGGGACTGTTATTATGGTCTGGCCGTGTGACGTCATCAGCGTCTGTTGCGGTCGGATGAAGAGAGGTTTGTGCTTTTTAAAACTTTTAAGCGTTTAACTCGATGTCAGCCGCTCGGAAAAGTCTATAGTTTTTAACAAGAACCGTGGAATGTATTATTTATCATTCAGTGTGACATTGTAATGCTTTATCCGACATTAGTGAACGATATTTTTCTAAATGAAGCGAATTTACCTAAGTAACAAGAAAACGTGCGTCTCATTTTATATATGTATTTATTTATATGTATATGTAGTTATTAATTTATTTGTAAAAGTGCTTTTTTTTAATGTAGAACAAGAACATTTACATAGAAATATACATACAGAGGATATCTACAATGTAGTCACTGTTGTAATCATGGTAGCATCAAAGGAAGTAAACAGTATCCAGGGAATAACTTAAACTAACAAAAGAAAAGGTTTCAAGCATTAAAACAACAAAAAGCACTAATCAAATACATTCAGAGCCCTTCAGTTTGGGATAATAATAATCTACCTTTCAATGATATATCTCTCATTAACCATGAATGTATTTTTTCTTTAATTTTCCCAAAAATTGGTATACAATTCAAATAATTTCTCTAAATAATCCCCCACGGCAGCAGCACTCTATTGCACATATGAATAATGATCTATTAAATGTGATCTACTAGTCATTAACACCAAGTTTAACAAGTAACTAAATGTGAGTTATGAATATATATATTAAATTGTAGTGCTAGTTTTGAGTTTTTTTTTTCTTGTCTAATCAGGTCATCCACGTGACACACTATTATAAAGATGGCGTTTATTAAAGAGGAGAGTGAAGAAATGAGGATTGAAGAAGCTTTCAGAGTCAAACATGAAGATACTGAGGAACAAACAGGTTGGTTTCTTCAGTCATTCATCTCTTTATCTCTATTTTACAGTTCATATGAACTGATTCTATGTATTTATTTGTAATTGTAATGGATGGAAACAGACAGTTTAATACGATTAAGAGTGGGCCACATGACCAAAACTTTATACGAATGATTTATTTAAAGATAGCGATATATTTCAAATATATATTATCTGTAAATAAGGTTGCTATGACATCTACATTTTAGAGAAATTTCACAATTCTCAACACCACAGCAGAATACTAGAGTAACTCATATTAGTAAAAAACAAAAAAATTGAAAATAATTAAACGGTCAGTAATAAAAATTAAAAAAAGCAAAGGACAAATACAATAGAAAAAGAGATACAAATGAAACAAACAGCGCTTTAAGTTTTTTATGCAAGTATTCAGCTAACAGCCTACTACAGAAACTGAGTAATCGAATGTAAAATAAAACAGCATAGTCTTCACTGTAAGAATTAAACTTCCTTTGTTTCTTATTAAAGCTACAAAAGTCCTTCTGTTTCTCTTTGTCTTTTGTTGTTTGATTACTATTAAGCACACAGTCAGCAGCAGGAATATTAGGCTGCTGTCACTTTAAGAACCGCCCGGATCCAATTTACTGTTACTCATGTATTTTCATTTTCAACTGTTTACGTTCACTGTTTACTAGAGCCCGACTGATATGGGTTTTTTGGGGCCGATACCGATATTTGGGAGTAAAAAAGGCACTCGCGCACTTTAATGCCCTTTGAATGCAAAATATAAAATGTAGTCATTCAAATTCATGTTCATATTTATTCATTCATATTAAAGATGTAATCTTGTTAAACATGCCAATAGTTTACAAACAACAAGCTAATCAAGGTTTTCAGAGTTACTAGAAAGCTACAGGCAGTTGAGTTTTTATCAGGGTTGGAGCTAAATTCTGCAGGACAATGACCCTCCAGTGCTGGATCTGAGGAAGCCTGTTCTTTCTAATCGTCATTGAAACTCTGTAAACTTTATTTTTGTCCACGTGTTTTCAATGCATTGATTTGTTGGATCTTTTGCACAGACGAGCCACCGGTGCACACTACTGTATGTCCCGTCTCTCCCTCTA